ATCCTATAGAACTATATTTAAAAATATGGTACTGGCATAAAACAGGATGCATTGATAAATGAGATAAAAATTTAGAACCCATATATAAGCTCATAATTCTATAGAAAGCTTTCTATTTGGCAAAGAGGCCAATAATACACATGGATAAAAGATTACACCTTCAACAAATACTTATCAAACTGAATAGCTACCTATAAAGGAATGAAGCATGATTCCTATAATTCACTATGCACAAAACTAAACCCAAATGGATTGAGGACCTCAGTATAATACCTGATATCTTGAAACTCATAGAGAGGAATGTAGGCTATACCTTCTGAATTCATTGACACAGAAAGAACTTTGCAAAAGGGAACAGAATAGTATAGTCATTAAGACCACCAATTAGCAAATGAAACTAAAACGCTTCTGTACAGCAAAGGATTTCATCATTTCAGGTAACCTTCAGAATTGCAACAAAGTTGTTACCAGATATATACTGAATGGCTGGTTACTCTCTAGAATATACAAAAGAAAAAATGAAAACAAGGGGCAGACAAATCATTGAACTAGACCATTCTGTTTGTAGGAAGAATAATTTATTATTGGGGGAGCAAACTGCTAAGACTACCCCCACCCTAGAGTGGCAGAGAAAAGATCAAAATGACAGAGGGTCAAGAATATTTTATATGACATCAGAATGGAGTCTTTGAGCTGATGCAGGCTGTTTGGAATGACCTGGAACTAGATGCCCTTGCCAAGGTAGTTGATCTTTGGGTCCATTAAGGGAGGTTTCTGGTAAATGAACATTGCCTTTAGGCTTATGTATTTGATAACAGTTCTTCTATTTACCAATATTTCTGTTTATCCAATAACAGTTCTGTTTAGGACAATGTCACCAATACTGCTATAAAGGTAGGGGGTGGGGGTGGAAGCAGGGGTTACCTAGCACTGAACACAAAGAAAATGGACAACCTGATTCTAAACAGGAACTTCTCAAAGGTTGAACTACAAAATAGCTGTGAACTATTTTGAATGTACAAAATTATTAGACATCAGGGAAATAGAAAATTAAAATGTGAGGGACCAAGAACCTGAAATTAGAGAATCCAGATACTAGAGTATAACCAAATACCACTGCTCTCAGCAAACAAACTAAAACAAACAAAAAAGAGTAAAGAATCATTCTTAAAGACATCTGATACACTTATAGATCAGTTCTTTTGCTCAGCCATCATCAGAGACGCTTCCTCCTATAGTAAAGGCAAAACTCACAAGGCTGCATGCTTCCTGCCTTCATACAATCATAGGCAAAAACTTCATTACATAATTACTGCATGTGTGGAATCAACCCACACATCTGTACACTGTGGATAACCAAGCTGTTCGCTTTGTACTTGTTGGTGAAACAATTTTTGGGAATGGCTAGGAGTTATGGCCTTGTTAGAAGAGATGTGTCACTAGTGATGGGCTCTGGCCAGGCCCAGTCACTACACTCCTCTGTCCCTCCGTCTTTGTCTCTCCAACTCTCCCTCTCTCTCTCTCCTTGCCTCCAACTTGCAGATCAGAGTTTACATTCTTAGCTACTGCTTTAGCTCTACATGCCTGCCTATCTACTACCATGCTCTCCAGCATGTTGTTCATGGACTCACCCTTTGAAGGTTTAAGCAAGCCTTCAAATTAAATCATTTCTTCTATAATTTGCCTTCACCATAGAAGAGTAACTAAGACACATGAAGATGGATGGAGACTGCATTTCTCCTTAGAATATATTTATTAATGTAGCCACTCCACTACATTAATACTTCTACCTCATTTTCATGAAAGACCTTCTCATCATCTAGTGTTGTCTTCAATTTATTTTTCCACTGGTATAATTTTTACTGCATAGATATTTTCCTTCCATGTTTATTTTTATTTCAATTTTTATTCCACTGTAAATGGGATTGCTTTCATTATTATTCACCACTCACATTACGTAGTGTTATATAGAACAGCTACTGCATTTTTTTTAGTATTTTTTTTATCTTACTATTACTTTAAGAGTGTTTATCAGATTTCAAGTTGTTTAGTGCAGTCTTTAAGGTCTTTTATATATAGGATCACATAATCTGCGGATGGCAATAATAATTTTCAATTTACATTAATTTCCTTTCTGTTGCCTGACCATCTATTCAAGAATATAACCACTATAGTGAGTAAAATACAGAAATTGGGGGGAGGAAACTACTTTGATATTTTATATTATCCCAGTTAGGGTAGCTAAGAAAAGAACAAATGTTGACTTGAATATGGGGAAGGAGAGATACCTGTTTAATGCTGTTGATAGTTCAATTGGTGTGTATGTGTGTATATCTATCTATATATGGCTTTATAACTTATTATAGAAATATCTAATCATTCATGTTCATTGCTGCTCTATTCAAATTATAGGAACAATCTAGATGCTCATCCACTCATAAGTGGGTCATAAAATGTCATATATTTACACAATAGAATATTGTTCAGCCATTAAGATAAACTAAATTCAAAAATTTGACTGTAAATGGATGTAGTTAGAAACAACCACTTTGAGTGAGGTAACCCAGACTCAGAAAGATAAATCTAACATGTTTTCTCTCATTTGTAGACACTAGTTTTAAATATCCAAATGTGTATATCCATATGGAATATTAATAGAGACCAGAGGATTAGTAAATGACCTGCTAACACACAAAGAAGATACAATAATACAAAGTGGTATGAAGAATTAAAGGAGAATAATAGAACTTGAATGTTAAGTTATGGTAGGAGATAGGAGGGGAGGCTATCAGAAAGAATATATATATATATATATATACATATACATATATATGTAAAACTTATCTGTAAAAGTTTCTGAAGCTATAAACATACACATTTATAAGAGGAATTCAAATGGAGTTAACTCTTATTGGAACAACAAATCCCTTACAATATATCATAGGCTAACAAAAATTCAGTGTTGTTTTTGTTTGGTTGGTTGGTTTAGTTTTTGCTTGTTTTCTGGTGTGGACTTATGAGGTCCCACAGATATAACGAATATTACAGGATATTGTTATTTTTTGATACCCTCCAAAACGTGAAGTTAAGATCCTACTTCTGAGAACACCATATAATTGAATCATAGGAAAAGAATAAACCAAGTTGAAACTTACCCAGAAAAACCATTTCTACTGGATGGATTCCATATCACCAGAGAAGAAAAATAATCATCAATTTTAGCCAACTGTGAACTTGTATAACTACAATAACAACTGGTCTGGCAAGACATGCACACTATTGCAACAATGTCCTGAACACTATTGGAGTAATCAATCACTTTCAGATTTCACTTAAGTCTCACTCCAAAAATGAAACTCATCCCTGTTATCATTATTGGGCCCAACGTCCTGTGACATTAGACAGGTTGTAGTCATTAGAATACAACTGACTACTATTATCTATTATTTTGCTAAATGTCACAATGTTAAATGGATTCTTAGTGCCTTGTAAAGATACTCATGGATTTGTGCACTCCTTAATCCTAATCACAGAAGCTTCAGTAGATGGTGATTAACACAAAGACCCACAACTGGTCAAGATACAAAGAATAACAGACTATGTCCACCCCTAAACAGAATTTCTATATAAAATCCTTCTTCCTGAGATTCCGGTATCATTGAAGAAGAGGTATGGTAAGACTGTGAGAGCCAGAGGTGGTATGTGACCACAAGAAGACAATGTTTACCAGACACTAGAGAGCAGTTACGTATGTGAACTCAAAGCAATAGTAGAAGCATGCACAAGATTAGACAAGCTAAATCTAAACAAAATCTGAACATGAATTAGTGGAAGTGGGTGGCATGACTTCCACTACATCCTGGAGTCCTCACTGTTCATTGTTCTTTGGATACCTATATAATGGTTGATTTTGTTACTGTTGTTTCTTTTCGAAATTGGCTTCTGGTATAGAATTCAAGAAGTATTCATTCTACATGTCTGTGTTGCGTATGACTTCTGATGATAGAGCTGCAACATCATCGTCATGGGTCAAAGTAAAAAAGTCTATTTTATAGTTCTTTTGTTATCATATATAATCTCATTATCTTCTCTCCCAGAGTAGAAATACTGCAAGTATTGTTCTCAGCAGCTCTGGAGTATAATTCCTGCATGTGTGCACTGTTCCTGCTGTACTTTGGAAAGCAGAGCCACCATTCTATATCTGTGATTGGATGTTACTGACAAACAATACTGAGGTCTCCTGTAAACCCAATCATCTCAGATCCATAGCCATCATTACAGTCAGTATAACTAATGACACAAGCTGTCCAAAACACCTGTCTTGGATGTTAACATCCAATGTCACTTCATTTGGAAAGAAGAAGAACTGAAAAAGTTCTCATTGCTGTCTAATGATGGCTCCTATAACCTGTACAAAACCTTGCCAAGGCTGTGTGGTCTCATAAATTTCAGCACCCAAACTATTTCAATAGTGTTTAACCAGAATACGTCATTTAATTTTGTTCTACAAAAGGTTTTTTTACTATTATTTATTTTGCATAATTTTTATTTGTTGTCTTTAAGGAGAGGCAGTGTTCTTTATATTTGATTTAAATTCAGCAAAAGCCTTACCACTCCATGTTCCTTCCCTCATGTAAATGAAACAAATACTTTGATCCTCATTCTAAATTTTGAATTAAAACAAACAAAACCAAAGAATTCTCTAAAACAAAACATCAGACAAAAACAAAGAAACAAACCCTCCTCTTGAGTTAAGTAAGATCATAGAAAGTCCCAGACCTTCATCTTTCACTGTTATTTCATCTCTTCCTTCAATGCCCAGCACTGCCCATTGTGGATCCTAGCATCTGACCAGACTACAAGCAAACTTTCTGCATTATGAATGAAAGGCAATCAGACTTTCTCTATCTGTTAAAAAAAAAAAAAAAAAAAAAAAAAAAAAAAAAAAAAANAAAAAAAAAAAAAAAAAAAAAAAAAAAAAAAGTAAAACACTTGCTTACCAAATAGTGAGCACTTGGTCCCATATTCATTACTGAAGGCGAAAGTCACGAACAATGCCACACCAGTTTGGAGTTATGATTAATAGGGTGGTATTTATTTAAAGGGGAAAAAAACTTACAGATCCCCGTCCCAGACACCAGCCCTCTGTGCAACCAGGAAGGGAGTCTAGTCACCGACTGGAGCAGGAAGTGAAGAGAGCAAGCGGAGGAAGTAGCCGTTTTTTTAAAGGGAGAGAAACCACGCCCCAATGGGCTGGTATCTCAGCAGCTATTGGTTGGAGGGGTGGAAGGACCTCCCGCAACACATTACCACAAGAAGAAAAAACCGAGTGCAATGATAGCTTTTGAGGGCTAGGCTGATCTGGGGCTTTCCCTTGAGGATTTGATATATGGTGATGGAACATAGCTCATTCTCTAAACTAGAAACATGCTTTGCAGAGCCCATAATAGCCTGGGAATAGAGTCTTGAGGGAGCTGTGGCCTTGGATTCTGGGAACCTAAGTCTTCTACCCTAGGAGGTTATAGTTATCAGTCTCAAAGTCAATGTATGTTCATTCTCTCATACCCTGTGTTCCCCTGTGCAAAGCTGCTTGTTTAGCTTCCCCCGATTTCATCCCACTGTATGATATCTTTTCTCTGACTCTGCCTCAATTCCCACCAACACAAACAACATATCTGATACTGTACTGCTTAATAGGTTTGGTTTGGCATAATATGTAGTTTATATAAGACCTCCTGATTCCAATTTTTTAAAATTTTTTTATTTCCTTTCGGGTCCTTTCTTTTAGCATCCTGTCATTGAAGAGTCACTGATCAACTGATTCTTCTTAAAATAAAAAAAAAATGGCAACAAAAGGCTATACTTTAAAGTCTAGCCATCAAAAACAAATGACATTCATTTTAATAAGGTGCAATAATTCTAGAGGTAGAAAACCTGTGTTGAAACAAATAACACTCAGAGAAATTCTACTTTTCTCTTACTTTTTATTGTCAAAGAGGAAATTTGATAGATATGGATGTAGATATAATCATAGACTTGGGAGATTACAAGGTGACTTTTTGGAGCCATAACCCCAGGGCAGTATGAAATATCTTAAGTCACTTCCGCAAACTCAAGCACTGAATCTCTAGTTCACAGGGGACATACAAAATTTTCAGTCATTTCCCTAAGTCTGAGAGCTTTTCAGTGTTGATTTCAAATATAATTGTTTTTCTGACCAATGCCACTTTTATCTGCTGTGAGCTTTTAAATCATGGTTCTGTGTGCCCAGAGCTATCATTTGATACTCATCCAAGTTTTGCACTGGAATATAATCTTACCTCCCACCTTCTGCCATTTTAAGTCCTTAAAGTGAAAAAAAATTAGAATTTTGGTTTCTGCCAGTGTTTAACGTACATAATAGGCGCTTGTGACAGTTGACATTGAGAAACTATCCCCAGACAGGAGCTAGAGATAGGATGAATGAGGTCCTATTCTGGGTAGGCTGTTTTATGAGTGAGCTAAAGACAAAACATTCATATATGGGAGCTGATCTTGCATAGAGCAAGAGGACTTGAATAAAGTTAGAATAAGTTTCAATGATAGATTCTTTTCACCCATCCTCACACCTATGGTATTTGAAGATATATTCATAAAATTAGGTGAGTATGTATGTGCCTGTATGGTACAGAATCATGCACATTTTGTTAGTGTGCATGTGTCTGTATGGCACTTTTACATGCCCATGTATATATATGCAAGTGCATGTGGAAGCCAGGAGATGTAGCCAGTATCTTTCTCAGGTTGCTTCTCTACGTTATTTTGTGGGCTAGACTTTTACTGAACATGGAACTCATCAATTAAGCCAGGCTAGATGACCAGTAAACTTTACTGATCTGAATATTTCTTCAATCCTAGCATCGGGGTTCTGAATATACACACCCATGCTTGGCTTATATGTGGGGGTTGGAAATCCAAACCCAGATCTCTATGCTTCCACAGCATGCATTTTTACCAATGGAGCCGTTTTCTCAGCCCCTTATAGATATAGTTTAGAAAATAACAGATTGCATTTTCTTTTTATAGTCTTTGAGTATAATAGTCAAAACAGATATGATTCATAAGTAACTGCTCAGCAGAGCCACCTTTGAGGCAGCTCATGGAGGCAAATACTAGAATGTTTACAAGTTTGAGAAGCACATGGGGAAAACACTCATCAGTGTGTGGGGAGTGGAAAATGTTGGGGACTGCGCATGATAGGATGTGACAAATGTGCGTGACTTCCACTGGAGACTACAGTAACTTGTCTCAGATTACAACCCATTGCTGAAGCTAAACTTGAAATTTGAAAATAACATCCATAGTATATGACTTTTAAAAATATTCTCACTGGATATCCTGGGTAAACTGTGGGTGGGGGAGGGGTTGGATAGAGGGGAGGAAATGGGGGGATGGGATTATGAGGGATCAGGATAGTCAAGTTAGGGCAGGACAGAGGGGTAGAGTAATGAAAGATCTCTTGATAGAAGGAGCCATTATGGGGTGAGGGAAAAACCTGGTGCCAAGGAATCTTCCAGGAATCTACAAGGATGATGGCAGCTAAGACTCCTAGCAATAATGCAGGAGGGTACCTGAACTGGTTTCCCTTGTGTTCAGATTGGTGACTAACCTACTTGTCATCACAGAGCCTTTATCCAGTAACTGATGAAAACAGATGCAGAGATCCACAGACAGGCACTGGGCTGAGCTCCAGGAGTCCAATTGAGAAAGAGGAGGGATTATATGAGCAAGGGAGGATCAAGATATCATAATCATGATGAGGAAACCCCAGAGACAGCTGACCTGAGCTTGTAGAAGCTTACAGACTCTATATAGCAGTTAGGGAGTCTGTAGGAGACCAACCTTGGTTCTCTACATGTGGGTGATAGCAGTTGTGTAGCTTGGTCATTTGTGGGACCCCTAGCAGTGGAACCAGGACCTGTCCCTGATCTACTCTGCCTGTGAAGAGTCAGCTTGGAAACCTAAGGGGTTAAAGGAGATGCTCCGTGAAGAAAGATAATAGGACCTGAAGCACTCTAGGGTCCTCTTGTAATGAGACTGATGCCCACAGAGAGGTGAGATCTTTCCAAATCCTTACAGTCAAATGCAGGTTAACCTGGCTTCCTGATTATCCGAGGTCTGTTCTTGAGCCTTGACCTTTTATTTCAGATAGTTATCCACAGACGGGTGAAAGACAACATATATAAGAGTCTCCCAATGGGCACAAATTAAAATTGTATATGGAAAACAAATCTGATAGCACCTTTGACAATAGACTTGTCCTAAGTCCTCTGATTATAAGCAATATATATGCAATTGTAGTACAGTTCATCTTTAGGTGGAGGTTCACCTGAACTCCTAGTTCTATGAAGGACAATATGAGCCAATTAGGAGAAGGATGGATATCACATGCCATGGTATAGTTACCCACATTCAAGGAACTGAAGAAATAAACTGTTATTTCTTGAAAACTCACTAAACTAGCGCTGCATATATCTAAATTTAACTCTCATCATATCCAGAGTAGGTCACCTCTGTGTTATCATATGATGGAAAGCCCGTTGGATCTGCTGTAACAAATTATACTATACTGAGTAATTTTTATATATTTACTGTTTATTTGCAATACTGAGAATTGAACACCAAATCTTAGGCATGCTGGTTCAGTGTTGTTCCAATTAACTATATCTCTATTTCTCGTATAGCCATCAATTTGAAAAGAACTGATATATATGGTCAGGAGACAAAATATAATATTTAGCTCATTCTCTGGTGTGGATTAACTCTTCAGAGATGGAAATTTGCACATATGCTCATATAGTGGAAGATGAAAGGGACTAACACACTTCCCCGCCCCTGTCTCTTTTATAAAGCCATGAATGAATACCCCTCAGGAGGATCATGCTGTTAAGACCAAGTCACCTCCTGAAAGTGCCATCTTCTATGAATAACACTTTAGGTTTCATTCTGTGATTTGTGGGGGAACACTGACACCATGTAAAATGGATAAAGATTTGGTGAGATTAAATAAAATGACATACTGTATCACTACAAAAAAAAGGATAAGGATTAAAGGCTGAATTTGCTATAAGGAACACATTGGTTTATACAACATGTCATTTTACCTCACTGGTCAGAGTCCTTACTCCTCCACAGCTAGTTCAAGGTCAACAATGCTGGAGGAGTCAGCTAAGCCTCATGCTTCCCAGTGTTACTTGGAACTTTGAAGTAGACTTGGTTTGTGTAACTTCAAAGAGCTCATAGGCCAGACACTGGTGTTTACACTTTATAGGTGAAGAAACTGCGACCCAGAGAGCTAACAAAAATCTTGGAATAAACCACACTCAGAGAAAGTTCTTGAGTTCCATTTACTTTTTCTGCTTCCAAAGAAAAACCATTTCTATATCATCAGGGACGCACCATTTCTGTGCATTTTAAATAAGTCTGTTCAGACTTTCATCATTAAAGTCTTCATCATCAGACCTTTTAATTTTATAGTTTGCTGGAATATTAAAATTGGACTAAATTCTAGGGCACTTTTGCCATTTCTAATACCCAGCCGCTATTGCAAAACATCTAGGTGGTATTCAACATGTTGTCCCCAGAGGAGAGGAGTCTTATAACCCATTTACGAACACAATCACAGTGGGAGTCATTTATAGCCTTGAGTGTGGGCAAGGGTAATTAAAATGCTGTTGGTATGCATTTTTCTACCTTCCTAAACTCTATTTTGCACATATTGTGCCTAGGGCATCCTCTACTGCCCCATGGGCTATCTGAACATCCTCGTTTATTTAGCTCTGTTTTCTTTTCGAATTTTTATGAACAGCAACAGAAGCCTCAGGCTCTGCTCTGCTTGGGGGACATGGGCATAGGCCCCCAGGCAGCTACAGGAAAAGCATGGCACTTCCAATCAGTGAGCCTTTATTTCTACTGGGGTCTTCTCTGATCTTGGCAAAAGTCTTAATTAGTTGAGTCCTCTGATTATGCAACTCCTGACTTTTGTTCTATTTTCCATACTTCTGCACCTGTTACAGACTGTATTGGTTTGCCTTCAAGTTTGTATGTTGAAGCTCAGTACAAAATATGCTTATACCAGAAAGCAGGGGCTTTACTGAATTAAAAATAAATGTAGTCATCAGTAAGC